CAACCGCATACTGAAACGGCGAACGTTTTTGTCTGTTGGACTTGTTGCTCATCGGCATGTACGCCACATCGGCATAATCACAAGCAGCTGTCAGACTCAATCAGTCGATCAATACGATGTTTGCGTTCAAATCTTCATCGGCGATGAGCTGGAAGGTTTCTTGACAGCGACGAGCGCTTTGCGGGAATGTTGATGCGCAATCAACGCTGCTTTCCTCCCCCTCCAGCAGATGGACGGCTTATGAATTGGCAGCAGGTTAGCGAGCGCGACGATAGCGTCATACAAATGTTACAATAAGAATTAAAGTTGCGGGAGTTAGGACAGGCAGCCTGAAATGGCTGTTTCAAACCCAAATGGAAGACTGATGACGTAACGCGCCACGTGAGGCTGAAGCGCTGCCATGTCATTATTTCAGTCGTATTTTCGTATTTGTGATTTTTTTTCCAGTGAATAGCTCAAAATGTCATTGCGTTCAAATATCATTCAGCTATTATAAACATATTTTACACAATAGATAAAAACATGATAGAAAGAAATCATAATTACTTTGCTGAGTAACTAATTACTTATACAAGTCCGTAACTAAGACAGTAACTCAATTGTTTTTTTGGAAAAAAATCATTTGTAACTATCGCTAGCGACATTTTTTAAGTAACAGTGGTTTTAAAGCACAACTGAGACTTTTTTTGTCGGTCTACTCATAATAGATATTCCTACCAAATTTCGAGGTGCGAAGTAATCCTAATTTTAAGGGCTGAATCCTTTTCAACAGATCATGGGGGGGGATTGGTGGTGCTGGGATCATGAAATGGCTGCTTCAAACTCAAATTGCTGATTTTTTTGGGTTATAAATATTGGAGACGTTTTCTCTGGTCTGTTTGTGACAGTCATGCCGACCAAATTTCGTGCGATGAAGGAGACTAGCTTTCGGGGCTGAATTTTCAAATAAATATTGACTCAAAACCAGCTGCTTCAAGCCAAAATGGCAGACGCGGCATACATTTTTGGGCATGGCTTCTTGAGACTTTTTTGGGTGGTGTCTACCAAATTGCATGTTTCTCAGCGGTACTGACTTTTTTTTTTTCTAATCACCATTAGAGAAAAATCTGGGTGGTACTTGGACCATAAAATGGCCGATTCAAATCAAACTAGCAGACTTCCTTCGTTGTTTTTTTCTTGAATGGCTATGAGACTTTTTTGTGGGTCTGCCAATGATAGTCTGATCAGTTTTCATGTTGCCAAGTGAAACAGGCTTCAGGGGCTGATTTTTATTTGTTTAATTTTTTTTTTAATCCGGGGTGCGCCAGATGCTGGTGCCCAAAACAGACAGAATAACATTTTGATGACAATTAGCAATGTGTGAAACAGAATCACTGCGTGCTAATAAAAGGAGGACAAATCATCTGTGGCTGTTTGGAAAAAGAAAAAAAAATCAAAAGGATTTGGCGTCTCAGGGGGAACATGTCTGGAAAATGAGGACAACATCTGCTAGACGCAAAGTGCATCAAAGCAGACGAACGGCCTGGAAGTCGCCGGGCGCCTTGTGAAAAAGGCAACGTGTGTTCTGCACAGCAACATCCACGACGAGTTTCACGCTGCCATCATGAAGGCAAACCTTTTGTTTACAAAACGACACCCACCCACCAATCGCAAGGCAGCAAAATCAATCACTGACTCGACACTTTAATACAGACCCAATGGAATGCAATTCAATACAAAAATTGACTTGAAGAGACAAAAGAAATTATGTTGCCTGTTTCACACGGAGATTGAAGAATTGTGGCATATCAGATTCATTGAGCAGGAATTTGCCCATTTGCGTCTTTCGCAGAAAATCCAAACAAGGAAGAAATTTCTGTCCTCTTTTTCAAGCAGAGATCCAGCAAAATTGGTGCATCAGACGAGGGGCCAGCATTCATCCAGTTGCGTGTTTCAAATAAAACCCAGCAAAGAGGGAAACACAGCAATCATGCACAATTGGACTCATCAAACATGTGCATCTGCCATTTAGAAGTTTGTCTTCCACACAAAACCCAACAAAGTGTAATAGTTATTCCATTTTTTCACGCAGATATCCGGCAAAATGGGCACTTCAGACATAGGGCGAGCATTCATCCAGCTGTGTGTTTCACACAGTACCCAGCAAAGTGTCGCAAGTCAGTTCTCTCTTTCACGTGGAGATCCCGTGAAATCGGTGCATCAAACATAGGGCCAGCATTCATACAGCTGTGTGTTTCACACAGAACCCAGTCAAGCAGGACAACTCTGCTTCATACTTCAAACAGAGATCCTGCAAAACCTGGCACATCAAATCCAGAAGTTGTCCGTTTGTATGCTTCACACAGAATCCAAAGCGGCAACAAAACTGTGTCGCCTGTTTCACACGGAGATCTGGCAAAATTGGTGCATCAGAGCCAGCCGAAGGCTCCGAAGGCAAACTTTGCCAGTGTTGGTGTTGCACATCTTCTTTTCGTGCACCCGCGGTTGCAATGGCACGTAAAATGTACAGAAGGCAAATTTACAGAAAAATTTCAAGAGGAAAGCTAACTGACTATTATTTATTTGAATGAAATGCCCCCTATTGAAAAACAAGCAGACGAACAAAAATGACTGAAAACCTCGAGCAGGTTTCTCATCTAAAGCAGAGGCGGTAACAATAAAACGAGACACAACACCTGACACAAATGGAGGGGGGGCATCTGCTTGTTTTAAGCAAAAAGCCAACAAGAAGATCCTTCCCCAACTCAATTTAACCTTCCCGTTACACGTGCACACATTTTGCGGTAATCCCATAAATTCCTGCCAATTCCCATTAATTCCTGCTGGCAGGTTCCCATGGAAACTTGCCAAGGTTTCCCCAAAAACACAACAGCTTGCTAATGCGTCCCGCGGCTTCCACACATAACAGCTTGCCGGAACGTTCCACCAAAACATAGACCAACAGAAAGCTTTTAACGAGATGAAAATATGTAAAATTCATCAGAAGGACTGTTAATCCACATGCCAATTTCCCGTTTTTAAGTAACCAAACATGGCTGCCCGCTCGATGGTCGTCTCCTTATAAGGAAACTGGAAGGAACCATTATCACGAGTGAGCAGGGGTGCGACTGCACGCTAAATGCATCAGTCATGCAAATGATTGACAAGCAATTTATATTCTATACACCGACTAAAGATCAAAATGATCAGTGGGATTATGACTTCACTTTATATTGAAATGTATTTGCCATTTGACAAATAAATAACAACAATAATAAAAGAAATAATAAGGAGAAATACTGGGACGGCTAATGTCTATTGGCTAAATCGCTAACTGTCGCTTACTTGTTTTGGCTGCTCATAGGCTAACAGTTGTCTGCTCAAATGTTACGCATTTGTTCTTTTTCATATCTGTGCTTTGTCTTCAAAATGCCACAAGCGGAGTTTGAGCGCTCGTTGGCTCAACGAAGCCCAAATCTGATCGTCTGATTGAAGAGACGTGCGTTCCAATACTTTTGGATGCTGAGGGGGGGTGTAAAAGTCCAGTGGGCGAGCTCGCCGCTTCCTCCGCTCGAGCGGCGAAGGACGCGGCGTCCTTGAGCAGGATTTGCTTCCATCAAGTGAAGAATGACGCCGGCAACTTTTGACATTGCGTTTTCAGCCGAGCGTGGAAAAAAATCTTTTCAAAGCGCACCGATATTGGCCCAAGCTTTGCCGACCCTCCAGCCACGGCCTTCCCGAGCGCAATCAAAACATTTTGCACTCACCGCTTGTTCTTGGCATTTAAAAGGCGGCCGAGATGAAAACGAGTCCCAATTAGAAGACGACGACGACGAGACCTCCCTCCATTCTCGAGTTAACAGCTACATTCCGCACTTGGCGGCAAAATTGACCTTCGCGGCAGTGTGACCTCCTCGCCTCACACGCTTGGAAATGTGAACGCACGAATGCTGTGGGCTGAAAGGGGGCACTGGAACTACAATGCGAGTACAAGAGCCAAACTTGCCCAAAATGTGTCCATTTCAAAGGAAATTCCATGTGTGTGTTTGATGGCAAATGCCGAGTTTAAAAATTTGGGTTTCAAACGCAAATTCCAAATGCTCCCTCTGGCTGGCAAGCCTTTATTTCAAACGTGATAGTAAAACCGAAACACAAATTTGAAACTCGAAAACCATCTTCACGACAGAATTTGAAACCCAAAAACCACCTTGACTTCCAAATTTGAAACCCTAATCCTGTCTTTAATTCCCCAATTTGAAATCCCGCCCCTCATTTGAACCCCAACTGCCTTAAAAAAATCCTGATGGAGGTTTGCAAACCAAATTTGAAACCCTAACACAGTCCTAAAAATAATTTGAAACCCTATCCCTAATTTTACACTCTTCATCAGGGTTTAATTCCTAATTTGAAACCATGATGTTGACTTAAAACCATGATTTTTTTTTCAAATCAGGGTTTCAAGACAGTATGAACTTCAAAAACTAATTTGAAAACACGTGCTTCAAATCCAACCCTCACCTTAACCCCTCTTGAAACCGAATGTAAAATCCGCGCTTTAAGCCCTCATTTGAAACCCTAATGCAGACTTAAAATCCTCATTTGAATACTGGCTTCAAACCAATCAAAAGTTGAAACCCTAACGCCGACTTCAAAAACCACATTTGAAACCGCAGGCCTTGCTTGAAACCCGAAATGGAAAAACCTTAATCATGTCTTGAAACCCTAATTCTACACACCGGCCATAATAGAGGCTTGAAATGTCCACTTGAAACCCAAACACCAACTTCACAACCTCATTTGAAGCTCAAACGCTAATTTGAAACCACAAACGAGAACTGAAACCCTACTTTTAAACACGAACCCATGTTGAAACCCTATCTTGAAACCCTACTCCATCTGTTGTGCTCTTGACCACTGTGCAATCTTCTCGCGCTGATACGACCGCTCTTGGCGTGTGTCAGCACTGAGTCAGAAGAAGTCCGAGCGGCGGCGGCGCTCCCCCGCCTGTCAATCAAGGCCGGCGACCTTTGGCCCGCTGTTGAAAGCGGCGCTCCCCAACAGGTGACCTCCAGTTTAAATATAGCACGCGCTGACAGCAGAGCCGCCGCTCGGCAGGGCGCCGAACACCTGACACACCCCCGCGGGCTGACGTGGCCTGACAGTCAAAAAAAAAAAAATGTGATCATGAGTCAGCATACACCCGTTTTTTTTTTGTTTGTTTTTTTTTAACATGATTGAGTCATTAGTTTGGTGCTTTCTGCTGCGTCGTCAAAGTTTGTCGACATTCTATGACGAAAATGCCACTGATTTGTCTTGAAGCAGTACGCAAGCTCCCTCTAGTGGCAGGTCAAAGGATCACTGAATTGGATGTTCAAACTTCAACTTTATTTTCAATACACTGCAGTATATTTGTTTGACACTTCCGTTGTATTTAACTTTGTAGAACAATTGCGTTTGAAGTTTAGGAACGTTTTGTTTTCGACATTTAATTAAGTCCTATTTTAAAGCGTCTTTTATATATTTTATATTTCAGTTGAATCTTTTTTTTTTTTTGGTAAGCGTAGTGTTAGTGTTCAAATTGTGCAAAATGTTACAGTGGCTAACAAGAATCATATATTTTTTTCTTTATTCTCAGGGCTTATTTTTTTTCCCCATTTAGGTTTTTATTCTTATGAAACAAATAAACCTCCCCCACCACCTCCCCCAAAAAAATCGAAACCAAGTCGTCATTCAGAAAAATTAAATGTCAGCCATTTTGGAATCAAGCCTGGCAGCCGTCAACCTGAAGACAAAGTCGAGCGCTGCGACAACATTTCGGATGGCGAGTCGCTGATGCCAGCGCATGTGCGGGCCCACCCTTTGAACGAGACTTTTCACTGGTAGGCAGACAATGCGTGCCCCGCGCGGACACACACACACACACACACACACACACACACACACACACACACACACACGCACACATGCAAGCAGTCAGGTGAAAAGTGAGTGTCGGCATGCGAAATTGCTTCTCTTTCAAATTTCCCGGCGGTGAGGTAGGTCGCGGCCAAACTTAGCGAGCGTTGCGGCTGGTAATGATCGCTTATTGTGGCGCTTTCATCGCGCCGCTTTGACTCCGACACCTCCTTCCCTTCCTCCCCCTCCCTCACTGTCTCTGGCTAACCTTCTGAAAAAAATGCATCCCCTTCCTTGTGGGCATTAGCCAGGGTGAAATTTCATATGTAGCTTGTTTCAAACCCTAAGCGTGGCTGGAAACTTGAACCTTGGCTTTGTCTCTACTTCCAAACCTTAACCCTTATGTTGAAACCCTCATCTGAAAGGCTAGCTAGTGGCGCTAACCCTCATTTTGAAGCCTAACCCAGATGTGAAACCCTACTTTAAAATGCTAGACTAGCCTTGGAAACCTACAATGAAACCCTAACCCTGGCTTGAAACCTTAACCCTAAACAGGCTTGAAAGCCGAATTCTGATTTGAGACCCTCACCCTTGCATCAAACTCTTTGAAACCCTAACCCTGATCCAGGCTTCAACCTAACTTTGAAACCATAAACCAGTCTTGGAAACCTGATATGAAACCCTGGTCCAGATCTGAATTTGAAACCCTAGCCGTTATTTTGTTGTGTAAGTTTAGGGTTCAGAGCACTTTGAAACCCTGCTTGAGAGCTTTATTTGAAACTCTGGACTTCGAATGAAATTAGAACTCAGGCGTTAACTCTCATTAAAAAAAAAAAAAAAAAAAAAAATTGGAACCTTACCCAGGTATGAAACCCATTATTAAACCTCAAACCCATGTTTGAAACAAGGTTACAAATTTCAGGTACAGATTAAGACTTTTCAAGTAGGGTTTCAAGACAAGATTTTGGTATCATATTAGGGATTCAAGATGGGGTTACAGTTTCGAAGTCAGCTTTCAAACTTGGGTTAGGCGTACAAAGGCGTGTCTCGAACCTAGATTAAGGATTCAAGTTCAGGTTGCAAGCAAGCATTAGGACTTCGGATTAGTCAAGTACGGTTTCAAATGAGGCTTCCAAAGTAGGGTTTTCAAACAAGGGTTCGTGCTTCTAGCCAGGTTTTTTGCAGTAGGGTTTCAAAATAGGGTTCAGGTTTGAAAGTAGGGACAATGTTACGGTTTCAAACTGACAGAAACCATTTCAAGTTGGGTTTCAAGCGTAAGTAATGGTCCGGCTGTACTTCAAATCAACTGCACGGTAAGTCAAAAAGGACTGCGCTTTAATTACTGTGTGTTGAAGACACGACAGCAGTCCAGGCAACAATGAGGAAACACGTTCTATAAATAGCTAAACGCCTTTTTTTTTTTTTTGCCTTTCTGCGCTCGCCCCAGAAAGACGCTCCTACTTCTTTTTTTCTTCTTCTTGAAGTGCATTAAAGGCACCAAACACACACGCTTCAGAACAGCCCAGCTAATTAGCGCGCTGCCTCTCTCGCTCCGAGCGCGTTTCATTTCTCCTCCAGCCCGGGAGCGCATTGAATGGCGCACGTCGGCGGCTAATCGCTAATTGTCGGCTAACTGATCGATGCCCGTCGTGGACGCCCGGACACTTCAGAGGGAATGTGAGCCGCTGAGAACTACAGTGGGCCAACTCCGTTTTTGTAGATTTTTTTTTTTCCTTTTTCCATCTCGAAGAGGATTGACGTGCTCGGATCATCTGCGTGGACGTCTTTCGCTAATTGGTGGGAAATTGAGCCCCTGAGAAGTACAGTGGGCCAACTCCCTTTTTCTTTTTCATTTTAAGCGTGTAAATGTCTGGAGAAAGCGACTCTCTTTGGGATGAATATGCTTCATGACTAAAATAAACCAAAAATGCATCTTTTGACGATGCATTTCAGATGTGTGGCATGCACGGAAGGTGAAGGGACGGCGAGCCTCGCTTTTTTAACATTCTGACTGTCATGCAGGTGCAGCGAGATGTCATGCATCAAACTCGAGTGACACTAAGTGAAAGTAAAAATGCATTTTTTGGGGGATGGTGCGTGACAAAAATGTTGCCTAAGGCCAGTTGACGTCACTCGTCTTGGTTTTTGCAATGTTAGCTTTAAACAAGTGTGAGAGAAGTTCAATGTTTACTAAACTGAAAAGTTGACTGATCTCACTGCTATGTGCAAAAAAAAAAAAAAAAAAAAGGAAATAACAAAATGGGAATACAGCAAAACCACATGCCTTGATTATTTGTGACAGATGTGCAGCGCATATGGCGAGTGGAGAGATGACTGATTTCATTCTTCTTGCTTGTTAACATCCTTACAATTAGACTGAAGTCACTGTCAAACTCAAATAATTCAAAGCCGCACCTTTAGCTGACACGTGACCAAGATGGAGTCGAAACAGGGCAAAATGATTTCATTCATTGCGTTTTGGAACATTCTTTCTGTTCATACATGCGTCAAGCAGAATTCCAATAAAACGCACTTTTTGATGACACAAGATGCAACAGAAAACAATTTTGGAGAGCGTTTTCACAAGATTGATATGACGTCTGTACGGCAAGTACAGAATACGTACAGCGTGTGTGTGTGTGTGTGTGTGTGTGTGTGTGTGTGTGTGTGTGTGTGTGTGTGTGTGTGTGTGTGTGTGTGTGTGTGCAAATGTTTTGTCACACTTCCCGACGGGCGAGGATTCATGTTTTGGCAGTTGGGGGTGCAAAGAGCCACAGAGGTTGTGGTCGGGGTGACATGCTAGCATTTTGCTGTGCCCACACACACACACACACACAAACACACACACACACACACACACACACACACACACACACACACGCACGCACGCACGCACACACACACACCTCGTGGGCAGGATAATCGAGGCCCTTTGACAAGGTCAGCATGTGGGTCTGTAATGACTGCTATGTGATCACACACACACACACACACACACACACACACACACACACACACACACACACACACACACACCATCAAATTTTTTTATCAAAGTTGTATGTGTAAAAAAAGACACACATTTAAACAGTTTCTTAAAATGAGCCGGTTTAAAAGTTCGTAGTTCCTTCTGCAAATGAGCCAATGGGTGCGCTTCAAACTACCACCACTAGATGGCCCCACCATTAGCTTCCCTGGAGCGGAAGGACAATATCAGTTGGTGGCGTGAGTACAACATGAAGATGGTTTACCAACCGCCAATGAAGACCACAGAATATAATTTAATCCATATTTTTACAGCCAAAATCGGCAAATATGACCATTTAAAGCATTTACAAAGTGACCTTTCTAACAAATGTCTTCTTTACTACAAATTCCTGTTTCCAGATTCACCTTCCTTATAAACGGGAAGTGATGTCAGGACAAGAAAAAAAATACAAGTGAGTGTGAAAAAAAAAATGCAGGATGGTGTCAGAGCAGGATTATGTAAAAAAAAAAAAAAAAGTAAATTTGAAGACAATTTCTTTTCCTTTGTGGAGAGGGTCAAAGACCCTCACGATGACATCACAGTAGGGCCAAAATAGGAACAACTCACTTTCCCACCGAATGACTTTATCAGAAATCCCAGTTTCAAAATTTGTCTTCTTTGAGGGCAAGAAAAGGTGTGAGGGCGGGATTATGCAAATCAGCCCCACTGTGTCATCACAACAGGGCCAGAAGCACAAACACTTGGGTGGGATTCCTCTCCCATGTGGGCAGGAAGTGATGTCATGACGGGTAAAAAGCCACGCAAGTGGGAAAAGTGGCGGATGAATGAACGGGAAGTTGGTCCGACTCCTCACACACACACACGCAGTGCCTGTCAACACGACGGCGCTCGTCACGGTCACGCAACTACTCACGCGACGCCTCCTTGGTCCCTGCCGCAGCCGGAACAGCATCAACAACAACAACAACAAATTCCCGCGCATCCTCCTCTCGTTATCCGCGCCGCCGTCGCGGCGGGAGAATCGGCGGGGAAACGGGGAATGGCACCATTAGCATGAGGATACTCACAGTGTCGGAGGGTCGCGGAGCTGACGAGATGCCGCACACCCGATTGGAAGACGGGAGGGAAAAAAAATGGAAAGTCGACTGAGAATGAGAGAGAAAGAGAGAGAGAGAGGGGGAGAGAGAGGAGGAAACAAGGGAGAGGAGGAGGAGGAGGAGGAAGCATCCAAAGCAGCACAAATAAAGAAATGAAGGAATCCTCCAGGAATGTGCGTGTGCGGAAGAATGTGTGTGCATGTGTGTCGGATGGGAGGGTCTTCGGAGAACCGCGCGTACACACACGCGCGAGATTGCATTTACAATCACTGCTGACAGCTCTGATGCGCAGTCCACCTGCTTCATCATCAGCACCACACACACGCACGCACGCACGCACGCACACACACACACACACACACACACGCACACACACACACACACACACACACACACACACAACCC